GACATACCGTTCTAGTAGGGAGTTGTTGGTGCTCCAATCTCTGGGGCTTCTTAAATGAACAGTGCAAGTTCAGTTATGCTCAAAATCCTTCAAGCTAGGTTCCAGCAGTATGTGGACCTAGAGCTGCCAGAAGTACAAGCGGGGTTTCAAAGAGGCAGAGAAACTAGAGATCAAATTGCCAACATACACTGGTTCATGGAGAAACCTAGGAAGTTCCAGAAAAACATCTACTTCTGCTTCATTGACTATGCTAAAGCCTTGGATTGTGTGGATCACGACAAATTGTGGCAAGTTCTTAAAGAGATGGGAGTACCAGAGCATCTTATTTGTCTCTTGAGAAACCTGTATGTGGGTCAAGAAGCAACAGTGAAAACTGGACATGGAACTACAGATTGGTTCAAAATTGGGAAAGGAGCATGACAAGGCTGTATATTGCTGCCCTGCTTATTTAACTTATATGCAGAGCACATTGTGCAAAAGGCTGGGCTAGATGAATCACAAGTCGGAATTAAGATTGCTGGGAGAAATAACAACCTCAGATATGTCGACAATACCAATCTAATGGCGGAAAGTGAAGAAGAACTAAAGAGCCTCTTGATGCGAGTGAAAGAGGAGAGCACAAAAGTTGACTTGAAACTCAACATTAAGAAAACTAAGATCATGGCAACTGGTCCTATCACTTCCTGGCAAATAGATGGGGAAGAAATGGACAGATTTTATTTTCCTGGGCTCCAAGATCGCCACAGACGGTAACTGAGGCCAAGAAATTAAAAGACGCTTGCTCCTTGGGAGGAAAGCTATGGCAAATCTAGACAGCATACTAAAAAGCAGAGACATCACCCTGCCAACAAAAGTTTGTATAGTCAAGGCTATGGTTTTCCCACTTGCAATGTATGGCTGTGAAAGTTGGACCATAAGGAAGGCTGAGCGCCGAAGAATTGAAGCCTTTGAATTGTGGTGCTGGAGAAAACTCCTGCGAGTCCCTTGGACTGCAGTTTCATCAAACCGGTCAGTCCTAGAGGAGATCAACCCTGACTGCTCTTTAGAAGGCCAGATCCTGAAGATGAAACTCAAATACTTTGGCCACCTAATGAGAAAGAAGGACTCACTGGAGAAGACCCTAATGCTGGGAACAGTTGATGGCAAAAGAAGGGAACGGCAGAGAATGAGGTGACTAGATGGAGTCATTGAAGCAGTCAATGTGAGCTTAGGTGGACTTTGGGGGATAGTAGAGGACAGAAGAGCCTGGAGGAATGTTGTGCATGTGGTCGTGATGGATCAGGCACGACTTCACGACTAACATAATGTAAGGAATTTGAAATGTAAACTATTAAAGGTACAGAATTCAGAGGGGGGGAAATGCCAAAAGACACTTTTGTAAATGCTTATGGTAGCCCTTGCAGACGTAGGCAAACATTTCTTGGTTTCTGTTCATTTTCCTCATGCAACACTCTTTTGCTGAGATGGAAACAGCTCTTATGTGAGTAGAAGTAGTTTCTCATGACTTTATTGCATTTTTGATTGCTTTTGTTTCCTTCCTCATTTTCTTGTCTTTATGTTTCTCAACCCTGTTTTTCTCTTGAGTGCTTTCCTTCCAATGCAGCAAGCTTCTTAAACCATTTGCAGTGAGAGAAAAGTAATTTAGAAGTAGTGAGAGAAGAGTAATTTAGCAGTCATATTTTTTAAAAAATAGCCTTAACCAAATAATACTGTCACACCCATGAGACTAAAACTTGCTTTATGTAAACCACATAAACCTTGGATGGACACTAAAACTGTTTACTGTATTCACCAGTGAAGAAGCCTTCCCTTCTTCAGTAGCACATAACACTTTTCAACCTCATTCCTTCCCTGCAGTTGCTCAGGAATCTAGCTAAAATCGTATGAGGGGCTGTTTTATTGCAGTCACATTGAAAAATTTTGTGGAAGTTCATGGGAAATATACCATTATTCTTCCATTCAGCTGACTAAACCAAGGGTGAAAATAGGGTCATGTGCTGGGTCATCCTTCCTTCCTTCCCTCCTTCCTTCCTTTGGCAGTAGTGATTGATGACTGTAAGGTTTGTCAGTTCTTTCAGGGGATGGTGAATAAGCCAAACAAGACATTTAAAAATGCTTTTCTGATACTCCTAGATAAAAATGAAGCAATTTACTTTGTCCACAAGAATCAACAACACCTTCAAATTTTTGAAAGTGCAAATTTATTTCTTCCATTTCCAAATTAGTTTGTGAGGGGGGTTTTTTTTTCAGTAAAATGCCTATATAAAAACTTTTGTGCATTATTATATGCATAATAATATTTCATATTCATCAGAGAACTGAAAAAAATCAAAGAATAATTGTGTTCTGGTTTATGTATTAATTTGGCAAGTGAAAATTGTTTGTTATTTAAAACTTTTATATGTTGTCCCTTATGCATGGCATCTCAGGATGGCTTACAGTCATTAAAATCAAAATACAATAAAACAATCCAAACCAATATAATAAATAACACATAACCAGTGAAAATAAATCAAAAACGACTGTTAAACATTAATAAAAAGGTTTTGAATAAAAAGGTTTTGACCTGGCGCCGAAAAGAAAAAAGCTTGGCACCAGGCAAACCTCTCTGGGGAGCGAATTCCACAATCTGGGAGCCACTGCAGATAAGGCCCTACTCCGAGTAGATGTCTTTTTTACTTCCTTCAAAGAGGGTTCACAGAGCAGGGCCACTCCCATAGATCTTAAGGGACGTGAGGGCATATAAGGAAGGAGACATTCCTTCAGGTATCCCAGTCCCAAGCCATTCAGGGATTTATAGTTCAAAACCAGCACCTTGAATTGTGCCCGGACTTCAACTAGAAGCCAGTGGAGCTGGTAAAGGACCAGCGTTATGTGAGAATAATGACCGGGCCCCGTTAGCAGCCTGGCTGCTCTGTTCTGTAATAGCTGAAGTATCTGGACCATTTATTATTATTATTTAAATTATTAGGTCAGTTCATATGAAAATGGGAACTGTGCAGATTTCTCCTCTACTCCTAGTACTGATTCAGCACTTTAGAACACCACAGATCAGAAAAAAATGCAATGCAGTGGAAATTACTGTAAGACTCTACAGCTATTCTTCACATGTGATATGCAGGCAGATTGACATCCACATGACATCATGTGGATGTCATGTGGGCACAATATATAGTGCTTGATTATGTAGAATGCTCTTAAGTTCACTTCTTATGTGCATGTAGACTCATAGAACAATAATGAAGAATCCATTTTCTGTGTATTATGTCATGACATTAGCACCATAGGAACAGGATGAGTTATGAATATTTGTATTAATGCTTTTCTGTTCTCTTAATCAGCTTAGTGAAATCTATGCTAACAAAAGTAGCTATGCAAGCACTGTCAAATGATCAGAGCATTTCACAATGAGAACATAACAGGAAACATATTACAGGAACTCCTTGATTTGTTAATATCCTAAACATATTAAAATGCTGGCGAGAAGATGCAAAGTATCATCTTGTTTTCCAAACAACATATCTGTATTTTAAAACTTCTACTAGGCAGTGTGGCAACTTTAGTTTCAGAGCAAGCCCAGGGTCCAGAAAGGGTCCAGAGGAGGGCAACAAAAATGATCCAAGGTTTGGAAACACTGCCCTATGAGGAGTGACTGAGAGAAGTGGGCATGTTCAGCCTTGAGAGGAGAAGACTGAGGGGGAATATGGTATCACTCTATAAGTACCTCAAAGGCTGTCACAAAGAGGAAGGTCAAGATCTCTTCTTGCTGATACCAGAGTGTAGGACACGGAATAATCAATTTAAGACATGGCTACCCAGATTCAGACTAGATGTCAGGGAAAGTTTCCTCACTGTCAGACAGTGAAGACATCCATTTGAGTGGGAAGGTGTAAATTGGTGTCTTGCGACAACAGGGGTTTGGACCCAATGGCCTTCATAGCCCCTTCCAACTCTACTGTTCTATGATTCTAAGCAACAGCTTCTTTTCTTTTACTGGCTAAATTTGTCTAATAGAAAAAATAAAGGACAAGTCATTAGAACAGCAAAGTTAAAATGACAAATCACATTTTATATTTTTATAAGTTTACTTTTCAAGTATAAGTTACAACAAAATGTAGATGAATTATTGATAACTCAGGGACCAGAAACAGACCTCCACTCTAAGGGCAGAATCCAGTGGGGCATTTACACCTTTTTCAGTTCTTTACGTCCTACCAGTCGCGGTCCACAGGTGGTGCTCACTGCTTACAGAACAATTTAGCACTGCTGGAGGAAGTGGAATGAGAGCGAACACTCTTTTCTGTAATGGGGCAGTCAGTGAAGCTGTCATAAGGAAGCTCCATTAACTTGTCAAAATGAAGAAACAAATATTTCCTCACCTTTTAGGACATTTTCTGGGAAGCACTAAATTACTGTTGTTGAAGCAGCAGGTCTTGCCTGCACAGTGGAATCTTGTGCAACAGGATTTGTGGGGCACATTAGAATCAATAGGGTTATAAGTACCTGGATTCCAGCCTAAGTATAGACTGCACGCTTAAGTATAATGTGCTTGCATACCAAGATGCTAGGGGGTAGATTCACAAGCTGCTTTTCATGAAAGGAAGAAGGGCTATGCTTTTGGAAGGCCCCTCCGCTGATTTTGGGGTGTACCTTTCCCACTTGTATTATGCTCATTGCATTTATCAGCTGCATATCTATCTCCAGAAAATTTTGCCAGTAGCCAAAGGTATTTGAAATAAATTATTTTCGTAATAGAATAATTAAAGAAAACTTTGGTATATTCAAGCAAACTCAAATATTCACTTAAAATTAATTTTTATAGTACTTTTTACACCTTAAAATATTTACAACTCTACAATATGCATTTCCTTGTTTGATTTTTTAGCCTGGTAGGGGTGGGAATGAAGGCACAGAAAACTTATTAACATAATGATCTTGGCATGCCTGTAGAGCTACACATTTGTATTTATCTCATTGTGATATTTTTGCTTTAACCATAGGGGGAGAGGAACAATGGCTTTGATGTTCTTTATCATAATATGAAACATGGCCATGTATCTACAAAGGAACTAGCAGATTTTATAAGAGAAAGGTAAGTTCTTTGCTAGCCCTTTATGCAAATATTTCTGGACTTGACTGATGTGTTATGATATCCTCAGCACTTAAAAACTCTAGCTGTGTTGTTTTAAGCTACTCTAGAAGTCATGATTTTATTAGTGAATTGTTGCATTACAGCTTGACAGTCTTTACAGCACAATTCTATGCATATCTGCTAAGAGGTAAGCCCCTTTCAAATCATTTTAGGATTGATTAATCAAGAAAATTGGTTTAGAAAGATAAGTTACTGGTGTAATATTAATGTTCTGAAGTGTGTATTCTTCATCAGATAAATATTTTTATCAATTTAAACTTCAGTTTAAAAAGATTTACGTTGCTATTAGCCTTACTGGGTCAAAGCACCTCACTTGCTCATTGTTCTTATTGAATAGAATCATTAAGGGAAGTAGAAAATAATACATAATAACACATGAATAACATCCAACACATTTACATTTTTAATATTAAGGAAGATATAGAAATCTTGTGGCAGGCAGGTTTAAGATAATCTGTTTTGCTATTGTAGCTTTACTAAAAAGGTTGGTTTTAAGCTTGCACATGAAATATGAAAGGACTCCAAATCCAAGTGACAAAGCTCACATAAATCATAGAATACAGTAACACTCTGTTTAAAGAGTTGCAGAAACAGCTCTGAGTAGAAATCTGATTTTCACTCACTCTGCCCTGTCTTCATTTCAAGCTGGAGTGAATAAGACAGCAGTTTACCAGTGATTACAGTCTTTTTGCCCCATTCTTTCTTTGCTGAATGGCAGCTACTGGCTAGCTTTAGCTAGCACTCTGCTGTTACGATGATTACAGTTCTCCTTTAGTAGGTATGTCCTAATTAGCATTCCTTGTAAAGCCCAGATAATTTCAGGATGTATTCTTGCCTCCCTGATGAACTGATTCTTTTATCAATGGTGAATCCTTCTGTCTATTATTATTGCAGTTCTTGTACAATGTGTATTTCACAGACCTGTGCATGCCGTCATAGAGCTTGTTGACATTCCGTAAGCACTTGCAGCTATATGCATGCACCTAGGAGCACGAAATCTGTCCAAATTTTTCTTGTTTGTTTTTTGGGGGGGGGCGGTTGGTCTGTAATATTTCTGTGGAAGTCAGACATGGTCAGACGGTACTGTCAGTTCTTATCATTACAGACATGTGGAGATGGTAACATGATACGTCTCTATTTTTGGCCAAATAGCATTTAGACTTGTATAGTTTTTCTGTTCATATATTTAAATGGTTGAGAGGAATTTAACATGAGTTATCCATGGTTTGCCTTTGTAAATGCACTGTCAAGGCCAGGCTATCTACTTCCATAGTTACAAAGAGGACTTTTTAAAGGAAACTACCAGTATTTTGTAGGTAAGTCTAGACTAGCAATGCTTGATTAAATAACAAAGTATTTGGCATTCTTTTTATCACACTATATCCTCAGGGCTGATTTGTAAAAATGTATATTTGTTGTCAGTAGTCAATACTTTCAGCAAAAGCAAGGGCCAAATCTTTTATTTTAACATTGTTGTTTGTGAGTCAATACTTTCAGTGCTGTCCAACAACTCAAGCAGAACTTTCCCTACTTGAGTTATCTATGTCTATATTATGATCCCAGACTATCATGGCTCTGCTAACCAGTGCTTTGAGCTGATAGTAAATGTGCATAATTATATAAAATATTTCTACATAACCTTTTATTTGATGGATTCAGAGTTAGCATGTAATAATTATTTTAAAATATTTAAGCAAAATACACATGAATAAACCATTTGACTCAGGAAATTATTTAACAATATTTTCCCAGTACATACGAAACTGTTGGTTAAATTCGTGTAACTTCAGTCAATCAGTACTTTGTTAAAGAACAGGCAGCAGATGATAGGAATAAATTAATTTTTTTTTATTATGCTGCCTTTTTTCTCTTTCAAGGAAGTCAAGGTGGCTTACATAATGCTCCTCCCCATCTTATCCTCGCAACAACAACCCTGGGAGGTAGGTTGGGGTGAGAGTTGGTGACTGGCCCAGTCACCCATTTGACTCCATGGTTTGATCGGGGACTAGAACCCAGATCACCTGAGGCCCAGCCCAACATGCTTAACCATTGCACTACACTGGCTCTCCCATGTAAATGGTATGGAGGGGAGGTAAAGAGTGGCAAGCCACAAGGAAGTGTAGCAGGAATAATGCTTTTCAGCTTGTTCATAAATGATCAGGGGTAGAACACTGACATGGTCAGTCATCACCAAATTATTTAGACTAGCTAAAACAAAAAATAATTACAAAGAGCTCCAAAAAGTTTACTCCAGACTGGAAGAATGAACAAAGACATGGAAAATATCAGTGCCAGCAAGTGTAATTGCTACACCTTAGGCCAGTAAAATTCTAACCCCACAGATGCACTAATGGATCTTGGTATTGTGATGAATAGCTGAGTGAAAGAGGCAAATTCCATGTCAGGCATATTTAGGAAAGGGATAAAAAAAACCGTGCCCTTATCATACTGCTGTTCTACACATTTATTGTGGACCGCACCTGAAAAACAGCTCAATACCATGCTGAAAGGTCCAAGAGAATCAGCAGGATATACTGCTCCTGTCTCTCTTCTGACAAAAGTCATCCAATGCTGTTTCAGTTTGGGCCAAACATGAGTCCAAAGGCAGATTGAAATGAGCACCATATTGAAAAGGTCTCAGTTGTTTAGAAAATCACTTAGGCAAATGAAAATCATTATTTCATTAAACAATAAAATAGATGCAGTTACAGGTCATTTTTATGGGAAATGGTATATATGTAGTTATAACCAAGTATGAAATGAATAGTTTCATAGAAACTATGAAACTGGAGTATTGTATTCAGCTTTGGGCCCCTCGTTACAGGAAGGATGTAGCCGGGTTAGAGTCAGTGCAGCATAGGGCCACAAGGTTGATGGGTGGTTTGCAGGGGCAGCTGTATGAGGTGAGACTAAGGGAACTGGGCCTTTTCAGCCTGGAGAAGAGGAGACTCAGAGGGGATCTCTTGGCGACATACAGGTATGTGAGGGGGTGTCACACAGAGGTGGGTAGAGACCTGTTCTCTCCCGCAGAGGAGGGCAGGATGCACCAGGGGTCAGACTAGATGGCCCAGGAGGTCCCTTCTGACTCACTCTGTTTCTATGTTTCTATAGAAGCTTATACCAATTAATAGTAAGTAGACAGACACTAAAACAGTGGAGGCTTGAAGTTACTGAAGACATGTTCTGTTGCCAGTCCTTTGGTCATATAGTTATAACCAAAGTTTGGCACACTCCCAAATTGTGTGTGTAATCTGCTATTTAGAAAGAAAATAATAGCTTGTGTTGTGTATTTGCTTTAAGGGTCTGTCCAGCACAAAAATTCATGAATGCAGTTATTTGAAGCACAGGCATCTCTCTTCTTGAGTATGGTCAAAGATATCTTGATGGCATCTCAGTTTACTCCTCGTGCTTGACATCTAATATTTTCATTCTGAAGTTTTCTAAACAAATTTGCAAATTCACACACCCGGATAACATGAAATTTTAGTACCCAAAATGCTTTAAACTGAGTCTAGTGTTTTCAAAGTCTTCTCTCAAAAATTGTCTCCTTTTCTTAGAATAAACCTGCATTGAAATGTTAGTTTAACAGCCTTGACATGGGTTCTGACATTAGAGAATCAATCATGCAACAAACTAAAAATAGTTACCTTCTGGAGGAACATTTTTGCTAGGTATATATTGGATCAGGTTGTTTAGAGAGAGACCTCTGTGGAACAGTTTGTTTCAGTTTGCTTGGGACTTGGTTTACATTTATTCAGGCTAATGTTGACTGTGATGAGCTAAGTATGAGTCTGAAATTGTAGCTCTGTATCATAAGTTGTATGGAACAATATTTTATTTTTACTTTAAATTTATTTAAATTTAAAAATATCCAGAGCTGCTGGCAATAGATATTAGTTCAGGAAAGTCCACCATAGAAGTAAGATCAACATTGGCAGCAAAGCTGTCGTGAGCAGAAAATTTTAAAATAATAATAATTTTAAAATCAGGTCAAAATGCCTTGGATGTTTTTTTTAAATCTTCACCTGCCATCCAAAAAAATTATGTTGAGGCCTCACCCATCTTTTCTGAAATACCATAAAGAGTGCCCAGCCACTGAAAAGCCAGTGTGGTGCAGTGGTTGAGTATATGGGACTGAGAGTTAGGCAATCTAGGTTTTAGTCCCCACTCAGCCATGGAACTCACTGGGTCATTTTGGGCCAGTCACAGACTCTCAGTCCAACCTACTTCACAGGTATGTTGTTGTGAGACAAGATTGAGCAGAGAAGGTGAATTATGTGAGCTTTTTTCCAGTCATTATCCGCTTATTCTGGAATAGGACCACTAAAGCAGTTAGAGATCAAACTGATTTTAAATGGTGAGGTGAATTCTTTTCTACATAATTTCCTGATCTAATGGAGTCCTATAATATTGCCTCTCAAGTTTTTTGATTTAATTGCCCCAAAATTGAGAAAGGTTCTTCTAGCACTCAGTCATCTACACCAGAAACAACGAACCCCTTAATATGCATTATATGGAAGAAAATGAGACTTGAAGTGGGTACAACTCAGCTCAGTTCACATGCTAAGCTTCTGAGGGGAGCTCCTCAGGGCAGATGGCAGCCTGTCAGATTTTGGCAGCTGCATCCCTGTTCCCACACTGTTTCTGCACTATCCCGTGGCGTACCTGCTACAGGTGTGAGGGTGTAGAAGGGGAGGTGATGCCTCAGAACTACCCCTGTAACTGTTATTCAAGCACAGCAGGCTCACCTGGCAACTTTAATTCCAGAATAACTATTTAGCTACCCTAGGCGTGTGGTCCACACCTGTGTATCCTGTTTGGTGAAAAACCCCAATGTCCTTACAAACATTTCATGTTTTTTTCACTTTGGCTAGTTCAAGCATAATAATCCCAGTCAGTATACCAGACCAGATTTATGATCTGTATGTATTATTGAATTGAATTGAACCCATAGCATTGTGGTGCTGGAGAAGAGTCCTGCGAGTCCCTTGGACCGCAAGGCGATCAAACAAGTCAGTCCTAGAGGAGATCAACCCTGACTGCTCTTTAGAAGTCCAGATACTGAAGATGAAACTCAAATACTTTGGCCACCTAATGAGAAGGAAGGATTCACTGAAGAAGAGTCTAATGCTGGGAACAATGGATGGCAAAAGAAGAGGACGGCAGAGAATGAGGTGGCTGGATGGAGTCACTGAAGCAGTTGGCGTGAGCTTGAGTGGACTCCGGGGGATGGTGGAGGACAGGACGGCCTGGAGGAATGTTGTCCATGGGGTCTCGATGGGTCGGACACGACTTTGCAACTAACAATGACATGTATTATTGTCCTTGTGCTGCTGCTTGAATGCCAGTTTTCTCCTGTATATAGGTTTACTTAATACACACAGGCAGGACTATATAGTCATTGCAGTTTAATATCAAATTATGTATTGCCTTTTTCCAGAGTATCATTATCAATATTTATAACTATTAAGCTATTTCATTATAAAATCCTACAAGGCAGTTTGCAAATATACTAAAATCTATACAAAACTTTCTAACAAAATCATTGTGTATGTGCCAAATAATACAGATAAAAGTTGATAAATATTAAAAACTGGCAGATTATTATAAAAAAGCTGGCAGTCCCAAAGACTTTGTTAAAAAAGGGTCACCTTCATCGGCTGTATGAATTCCAGCTAAGGAAGAATGGGACACATTACTCTGGAAGAGGAGAGGTACAGTTTTGGTGCCAACTTCAGAGAATGCATTTCCTGGAAGTGTATGTGCCTCTATTGCCTTGTGAGGCAGGTCAGCTGCACATGTCTCTGTCCATTCTACAGTAACTCCCACCACAAATATTCTTATTTGGGATGGAAAGTGATCAGCTAACATGTTTTGATTCCAAGAACGCAGCCTATTTCCCCTTTTTTATTTTCTTGGAGAACCCTGTTAGTGAAGTGGGACAGAAGAAGTTTATTGATCAGGTTTTAAGGCAAAGCATGGTTTGGTTACACATGACCAGAACAGACTGCGCTTGTTCTTTTTGTGTGCTCATTTATTCTGCCTTGGTACAGGATTATGCAGCTGCTACATCATTTTGGATTGCTGAACATTAGGATTCTCTTTTGTTGTTTATAGGGCTGCAGTAGAAGAGGCATATTCAAGATCAATGACAAAATTAGCGAAATCTGCCAACAGTTACTCCCAGAATGGGTAAGTTGATAGCGTGTAAAAGGAAAATAAATTAATAAACTGGGCAGGAGGGGTGGTCTTCACCCATTGGCACACCCAAAGCCTAGATGAAGCATTTTTTCCTGCAGACTTTAAGGAATCCACAAAATAATACAGAAATTGAACCAACCACACTTGTGTCTGAAAAAAATCTGACCATTACAGAAAGTGAAACAGAGATTCATCTTTTCCTACTTTGAGTTCAAGTCCCCTTTGGGTGGTGAGCAAAATAAATGTACATATTTGTTTTTATATTGGTTCTACATGGTAAACACAGTGGCTGAATTTGCACAGGGCTCATCCATGGTGGGTCATGCTATCCATGTTCGAATGAAAGAACCAACCTAGAGCATTTCTCTAGGATTATTTGGGAAAAAGCAACCACCCTGAGTGACTTTGCCTGTGTTTGTATGATGCAACAACCCACCTGTGCTAACAAACCATGGAGAATTCTTGTGTCATTTAACTGGTCAGGTTTTGCTTCTCGCACAAGTGCAGGAGGCCAGCTAGCTCTGGAGAGGTCCTTCCTTTGGGGCCAGGAAAGCAGGCTTTGTTAAATTTCCTGGAGGAGGCAGGGCCTCCCTGAAAGTTCCCAGCTGTTTCTCTTGCCTCTGTGGCAATCAACAGACTCTTAAATATGTTCTGAGTTACATTTAATAGAAAGCTGTGTTTAATATATTGCCTTGCTTTCAGGCTATTATAGAACTAAAGTGGCTCATCTTTTGCATTTTTTAGGACCTTTGCACCAGTCTGGGATGTTTTCAAATCATCAACAGAAAAATTAGCAGGCTGTCATTTAGAACTTGTTCGGAAACTACAAGAACTAATAAAGGAAGTGCAGAAGTATGGAGATGAACAAATGAAAGCTCATAAAAAGGTTATGTTATGAAATGTGCTTCACTATACATGTGTACAAACTTGCTCACATTCTCAAAATACATATTTGTTAAAGAACTTTTTAACTTTGACAAACTGGCATCTGGAAGGAGGAACCATATCAAAAAACAAACCCACTGGCTTCTTCAAAAGTAGAAGAATATATTAAGAATTTAAACTCTACAATGTACATTTATTAAGCAAAGAAATTAAGTTGAAAGTGGGTTCATGAATCAACACAAACAGCGTATCAATGAGAACAAGATTGTGAAGAAATTAGTTTGATTCTTTTGCTAGCCAAATCAGAGGACTCAGGGGCTTAAAACCAGGCTGTGGACATGCATGCACAATCTGAGATGAGCTTGTGAGGGTGATGAAATTAAGAGATTGGAATTAAGTAAATCAGAGTCCCTAAAACTTTTGAGAAAGAGCAAGAAAGGGGTGAGGTGATGTTGTAGGAGTAAAAAGAAAAGAGAGGATTTGAGGAAGTTTATCCTAACAAGAGATGGAACATTCAACGTACCGTATTTTTCCCATGTATAAGACACTACTTTTTCTTTAAAACATTTAGCTAAAAATGGAGGTGGGGGCAGGGGAGACTGGCGCGATCACACGCACAGTGGGGCGAAGTGCCGTGGCAGGCGGGGGCGGTGAAGTGGCGTGCATGTGCGGCAGCAGCTTGCTTGCTGCAAATCGTTAGGAAAAGTGGGGGGCATCCCATACATGGGGGCGTGTTATAGACGGAAAAATACAGTAGTCCTCATGCATGGGCACAGTAACAAAAGGGAATAGGGAAGGAGGTTGTCTAAGGCTGGAAACAGTGTTACCTCCATTTCTTGTGCTTTATGCACTCTCCCCAGCCTTGTTTAGTCCCTTTTCTGAAGTACACAGCTTGACCAAATTGTTCAGAGGAAGACTGAAGAGGAAACTAAAAGGGTCCCAGTTATGATCCTTCACACTGAAAAGAACAAAAGAGGTATCATACCTAGCATGCCAGAAAATTCGAAGTGATGATGCAACAGTTTGTGCATGGCTTCATAGCAGTTCCAGACTGAAACAACGATTCAGAGATTATTCCTTCCTATAGACAACTTAAATGTGAAGGAAATTTCTCAGTAAAGTGGGTGCTTGAGCCAGCAACTATTCCGAGATTGTGTCTTGTGCAACACTGAAAACTTTCAGTCTGTATCTAGATACAGATTAGGCATCTAGAATTCACTTAAGGCTGGGATACATACATAATTAGGTTAATAATCTGCTTCTCTTAAAACTAGTGGACTGTGTCTTCTTTGTTGTCTCTGTGCATCATACATATGGGCTCTGAGCCTGCTTGGGGCCTGTTGTTCCTAGCTAAGCCTTTTGGTAGGAGTTGTGCCCCTTTCCCTCCTGGGTTTATAAAAGCAAGGCCCCCACCATGTTCTCCGGTTCCCTTTTGACCTCCACCTTGGGTGCCTCAGATTCTCAACCTTACACTCTCTGCTTACAATTAACAATGTTTTTCTTACAGTTCTCCCCATCTTCTAGCTTCCCCCAGTGGCATTCATGGCAGTGTTTCAAAAGTGTTTGTGCTGTAGCACCAGAATCTCCTCCACAGATGGGCACTCATTTTATCTTTCTTGGTCGGGCAAAGATCACAGAGTAGAGTGCTGTCCATATTGTCAAGCTTTACAAAGCAGGCAAGAAAGACTTGAGCAGGTTGCCTTCAGCAGGACATGTGGGTGAGAGTGCTTCAGGCTGCCCACACAGTGACTTCTAGCCCTTCTACCTCACAGGCAATTTTGAGCTCTCACCCACCATAAGCAGCTTCTGGAGCTTGACTAGTTGCAAAGACTAAAACCAGGCTGTCATTAACCAAAAATGGCTGAAAAAGAGGTCCAAATTTAGCCTGAAAATGGCATCCAAAAGTTGTGACAAAATGGTGGCAAAAAAGCCAAAGAAAAAGGCTTGATGCCGTTCACCTGCACTAGACCAATTGCCCGTTTGGTCTGTGATGCAGTCAGTGGAGCCTGGACCAACAGCATTGCCATCTCCTCCAACATGAAAAGTAGTCCCACCATCAGGATAAATGGCCCAAGCGGAGCAGGTAACTGCACACTGGTTTTCAGAGGGAAAAACATGAGATTTCTCACCAACAACTCTGCTGCAATCACCCAGACCAGTACAAGAATCCATCCGAAACCATCCTGCAAACTGATTTCCTCAGCATTGTGAACAACTCTAGCCAACATTCAGGCAGAACCTCCTTGCCTGCTTGGGGAAATGAACCTCACTGGATGCCACCAGTAGCAGCGTAGGGACATCACCTATGGGAAATAAGACCAAGGGAGATGCCATACCAATACTGGAATCCTCCTGCTTTTCTACAAGAGGACCCATGAGTTACCACGTCATCAGTCCCAGTGCCCGCACCATGCCGATACCTCTGGTTTTCACCAGCTGACAGCCAGCAAAACGCCAAGCACCATTGCTGTGCATATTGTCCTCTCCATCTGGCTGCTCCTTCTCTTTGTGCCTGCAGACTATGCATTGATAGTATAACAACTGATATATGACAACCTGATATCCCCCTCACAAATGGATGTGATAAGAGCACAAAGTCCAGGATCCCACTCCGAGAACCTAGGAAGATTCTCTGAGCTACTTCTCCAGATGGCAACATGTCTCACACTCAAGACACAACAGCTAGCCAAGGCTCTGATTGATCTCATATATGATGTCTGGATGGAGGACACCATACCTGTGGCCATTCCATTTGTGCCAAACCTCCTCCATGCTACAGAGGATTCATGGAAGGCCCTGGCACAGCACTGGCCAATATCATGCTGACCAGAGAGTCAGTATCAAGTCCAGGAGAGGGATATCCTGTTCCTCTTGCACCATCCATGTTCAAATTTGGTGATAGTGGAATCAGCCCAAGGTCAATCCCAGAGTCCCTGTGGATTGCAAAGGATGGTGACTGGATTCAATGGCTAGGAGAATATTCATGGTGATGGGACTTGGCTTTCATATATCTAATTATGAAGTGGCAGTGGCACACTATCAAGTATTTTTGCGGGAGAAGATAGGGGCACTAGCACAGTTTCTCCTGCAGCAACACTGAGAACTTGCTCGGGTCTTCCGGGTTGAAGCACTATAGCTATCCAAACAACAATTTAACACTGCATGTCATGACCTGGAGTGTGGTTCGAGAGCACTAGTCAGTGCTGTAGCTATCCACCGACACACATGGCTTATAGCATTCAGCCTCCCACAAGAAACTTGAGCCCAGAAAGAAGAGATGCCTTTCAATGCAAAGGGTATCTTCAACACCTGGACCGATGAAATGTTAGCATGCAAAAGGCAAGAGCGACAACAAGAAGAATGAGCTTCACACCATCTCAAACATCAAGGTCATGTAAGTAGCCATGGGGCCCATCCTTTTTCCTCAGCAGAAACCAGCCATATTACCCTCCTTGGCAACATAACAGCATCAAGATGCTTTCTCTTGCACACAGCAGTCAGCTAAGAAACAGCTGGATGTTGAAGGGTGGCATTACTGACCACAAACCCAAACCAATCCTTCACCACCATTAACAGTTTGGTTTGAAGGCTGCCTTAGAACTTATCTTCTCCAATGGGAAGATATAACATTACACAGATGGTTACATTCCACCACTGAATTTGGGTACTGTATTAGAATTCTCATCCTTTCCACCACTCAGGACCATACATACCACCTCTCCATCAGTGACCCTAGAAAAGGTGGTTGCAACACTTCAAACAAAGGGAGTGATTCATTTGGTTCCACCATCTGATCTTCAATGGGGATTCTAATTTGGATGCCAAGAAGTTCTTCCTGACAGTTAGGATGCCAAGGGTATGGAATGGGCTTCCACAGGAGGTGGTTGAAGCCCTGTCAGTGAGGGTGTTCAAGGATAGGCTGGACATGCATATGGTAGGGGGTCAGACTAGATGGCCTGGGAGAGACCCCTTCTGACTTGCTCTGTTTCTGTGTTTTTAATCCTGTTATTTTACCATCCTGAAGAAAGATGGTGGCTTTTGTCCTGTATTAAATCTAAAAGATGTGAACTTCTACATTCCACATAAGACGTTCTGTGTGAATTCTTTACAGACTATACTGCCTTTGTTAAGACAAGGGGACTGGTTCACCTTGATAGACCTAAGAGACGTGTACTTCCATGTATCTATCCATCTGGAGTATGGACATTTCCTGTGGTTCCCTATGGGCACTGAATGATACAAATTCTGTGTACTCCCATTTGGTCTCACCATAGCCCTCGGGTGTTCGCAAAATGCATGGCGGTACTTGTGCACACTTTTTGGTTCAAGGGATTTGAATATACCTGTACTTAGATGAGTGGCTCCTGAATGCCCTGTCTGAAAAGGACTTGAGGGCTTCAATCCACACTAGGTGTTGTCTTCTGCAGAAACTAGGACTAAGCATTAATGATGAAAATACTTTCTTCCTCCCTGTCCACCCTGTATTGGTGCCAGACTGTACCAATTCTGTGGATTCCTAGGCATACCAGCCCCTAGGCAGAGCAGAGACTCTACCTGAATTGGTCCTACACATGCAACTGGAAGTCAGATCTACAGCACACTGAATACAATGATTCTTGGGACTAATGGCAGCTACATTCTCTGTCGTACAATATGCTTGCCTACAAATGAGACCTCTCCAGTTACAGTTTCCAAGGGCTTACCACCTACACACAGACTCCAAACGGTAACACTTGATACTTTTTCAGTACAGTCTAGTCTCATTCAGTGGACTGTACATCACAACTTCTCCAATGGAATTCTTTTACCCTCAAAAAATGGATTTGACCATAACAATGGATGGGGAGTGCACTGTACTGGCAAAGAAGAATGTGGACTATGGAATGACCAAGAACACAGCAAGCATATCAACATCTTGGAGCTTCTTGCAGTACAAAAAACATTACTGTCCTTCCAACAGCTTCCCAAGAACAACCTTATTCAGATAATGTTGGACAACACCTCTGTTGTGTATTATTAAGCCGCCCCGAGGCTTCGGCGAATGGGGCGGCATAAAAATGTTTTAATAAATAAATAAATAAATATTATCACCAGTTGAGTGCCACTCAGTCTCCTGCCAGGTGGTTCCTTAAAGGACTGCAGAACCTCATACCTCTGACCTGATTGATTGTGCTGGGATGGAGCCTTTCCATGCTTCTGCAGGCTTTCACAAAGCCCCCCTTCAAACCCTTAGCTACCATTGATCTTGTATTTGTAGTAGCAATCAAATCAGCCAGATCAGGCTAGTGAGCTATGTACTTTCCAAATCAAACCACTGTTCCTTATTTTCTATAAGGGCAAAGGAGTTTTGCGACAAGACCAATCTTTTCTGTCTAAGGTTGTCTCAAGTTTCCACTTAAATCAAGACATAACCTTTCCAGCTTTCTTTCCAACACCATCCAGTCCAGAGAAACAGCTCTCCGCACACTGGATGTTTGAAGAATCCTAGACTTCTATTGCTCCCACACAGAACCAATCCACTGATCCAAAAGACTATCCCATATGTGGAATAGTCTAAAGGCAAATCCATAATGCCACAAAGACTAGCTCACTGAATTGTAGAAACCATCAAGCTCCCCTACCAGCTAGCCAGACTGGAACCTGATGAAAAACTAAAAGCACACACTACCAGAGCAGTGGCTACATCCACAGTGCTACAAGCCAGTATGCCATTGGAGGACTTATGCAGAGCAGCAACATAGTTCAATCCAGCTACATTCATTTGGCACTACTAGCTCAATGTCTGAGCCAGACAAGACTGATCCTTTGGATGGGTGATCCTATCAGCAGTCCTATGCTGATGACACCGTTCCACTTCCATTGAAGGTAAGTTCGCTAGTCACCCATATGTGTGATGCACAGAGACCATGAAGAAGAAAGTAAGGCTGCTTATCTGTAACCTATGTTCTTTGCGTGGTCATCTGTGCATTCGCACAACCCACCCACCAGCCCCACATTGGTGTTGATAACTGTAATATGTCCAACCAATACATTCTTCCCTTTTCTCTTACCTTTCCATCCGTGCCAGACTGGTGGAGGGGGCCAGAAATGGCCAAAGTAAAATTTCATGAACATTGGAGAAAACAGCAGGAGGCCTGCCTTTATATGCCACAGGTGGGAAGGGTGTGGGACTCCTGCCAAAATGCTTAGCTAGGAAACCTCTCCGACAACAGGCCATGTTCAGCTGCAGAGCCCATGTGTTTGAATACACAGATGACCACTCAAAGAACATGGGTGACAGGTAAGCAACCTTACTTTATTGGAATAGAAGTTTAATTGGAAATGATAGATTTAACCTTGCATATGTGACTAGCAGATCTTTTAGACAACACTATTTTTCTGTCACTCTTTGGCCTTGGCAACTATTATTTAAAAAGTCCATCTCCTGTGTTGCGGGGGGGGGGGGGGGTTAGTTGTTGTTGTTATTATTATTATTATTATTATTTTGAAAGCTACAGTGTTTGCCCTATTCTGAACAACTTGCTAACAATTCTCTTTTTAAAGTATGTAGATTACTTCAAATGGACATATTAAAGCAGTAGTGTTTGACACACATGTTTAATTTAACAGACTAAGGAAGAGGTTTCAGGAACTTTGGAAGCAGTACAAAACATTCAAAGTATTACCCAAGCGCTCCAAAAAGCAAAAGAAAATTACAATTCAAAATGTGTAGAGCAAGAACGTTTGAAAAAGGAAAGTGCAACACAGAGAGAAATAGACAAGGTAAGCTTTACTTCAAAATATTAGTATACCCAACTTTATAGTATTATCATGTAGCTTGAAAAGATCTATACAGAATTACAAATTTTGTGGATTTGTTAAAGTATAAAAATGGATGTCTTCTCCATCAAACCACCAATAACATTAATGTAAAATGATGAAACTAGGCTGTAGTATTTTGGCCACATCATACAAAGGCATGTCTCATTGGAGAAGCTAGTCATGCTAGAAAAAAACAAAGGCAGAAGACGAAGAGGAAGACCTACTATGAGATGGCTCAATTCCATAAAGAAAGCCATAGCCTTGAGTTTACAAGAGCTGCACAGAGCTGTCAAGGACAGGACATTTCAGAGTATTCATTCATAGGGTCACCATAAATCAGAGAAGTTTTGATGACATGTAACGATAAAGTTGTGTTCACTTACTGGATTAGCTTGTATGTGCGTATGTGTAAACTCTTGAGCCTCACCTAGCAATTCTTCAAGTATATATAATCTGCTCTATGCAACATTATGGAAATATTCATACATTCAAAATGTATGAACAAATGTCTTCAATCATGAATTGTTTTACCATGCATTCTGATGACTGTGCAAATTAGGATTCTCCAGGTGATAAATATATGATTTGATAAGCATGATTTCTTTTCAGCTTGTTGAAAGTGACATTGTATATTTTATCCTTTGGACATCTCAATTTTGTTTGGATCCCACCATATAATATTTAGGGTCCCTCTGCAAAGAAGAAAAGTGTGTCTAAATTCACCCTCAGCACTAATTTGCATAGTTCTTTAAAACGAATATAGTATTATATTCATTTTGTACAGTGTAATTAAGATAATCACTTTTTGATAACAATTCAAATATATGAAGTGGAGTTCCCCAAGTATTTTTCCACATATTTCCATATTATAACATGAAATATGGTGGATTAGTAAAGGAAATTAGGTAAACTAATTAGGAAATTAGGTATAAAATTTTTTATATTTCTCTCCTTTGTAATCTCTGAGATTTCTAACAGTTTTTAAACAGTTAGAAAATATTTATATTTGTGTTTTGGCACTACATCTTTCATTTACCTTTTAAGTTTTCTTCTTGATTATCTAAGCCATATATGCACATTACATTCAGTGTACTGTAATAGAGCCATCCAAGATAAGAGTGCAGTATTTCATGTTGTATGTTGTTTGCATGAGCCCTCATGTGGTAAAACCTGGTATATATTGTGCTGGAAAAAACAGTTGCAGATTAGAGTAATGGTAAACTGATGATAAAATGTTCATTTTGCAATATCATCTTTCCCTATGATTTCTTTAGGCAGCTCTAAAATCTAAGAAAGCTACAGATACATACAAGCACTATGTTGAAAAGTATGCTGCAGCAAAATGTGATTTTGAACAGAAAATGACTGAAACTGCACAGGTAGGCTGTATTTTCATCTGATTTGCTCCAGAGCTAGTTATAGTTACAACAGACCATTTCAGTCATTGGGACAATTGAAGTAATAATGAAATCCTTGGGATTTCAGTAGGTTTACACTAAGAAGGATTACATTTGGATGCAGTCCAGTATTGAATACTGTAATTTACAATCCTCATTCTGCTTTATATTCAGTCTCTCTGATTTTTCCTGTTGTACCATTTCACAAGGCATCTGGAAGAAGAGAGAATTCATTATCTAAAATAAATGGAAATATTTGTAATTTACACAAATGACTGCATGTTCTAGGACTGGGAATGTTTGATAGAAGCAAGCCTTGTTGATTGTAAACCTTGGGCAAGGGAAGCAGACATTTATTCAACTGTGTCTGACTAACCGATTCTTACTTATTGATTTATTTCTTTTTCTTTCACCTTGATCAATTTTCTTGTAGAATTTTTTACAGTGCTTAAATATTGTGACTTTTGTTTAGCTATTCTGCATTCTACTTTATCCTAAAACTATTTCTGTACCATAAAATTCTCAGTAGTTTGTTGATATCCTTAGGGAAAGTGCCACTCTAACCTTAAACTATTATGATTCATTGTGGCAAAGGATCCTTGGTGAGGTGAAGACAACTCAAAGGGTTGTTGTTGTGAGGATAAGTTTGAGAGGAGGAGAATTACGTAATCTGCCTTGAGTTCCTTGAAAGGAAAAAAAGGTGGAAAATAAATAGAATAAATGCATTCGTACATATATGCTAGAATCTGAAAAAACAGAGTCAGAAATGTCCATTCTGTAAAATGAAACCAGAATATTTACAGAATCTAGAAACCCTGCACATATTTGGTGGGAAAATGAAAGAAGTTATTGGACTGACCTCTTTGATGTTACCTTATGAACTCTTCCTTAAACAGAACAATACTACATTTGAATTTAGTAGATACTTAGTGTTGCCATAAGTGTCTAGGGCTAATGTGAACTAAATATGCAAACCATTTGAAATATGTTTATTATTTAAGGCAATCTGAAAACTTCTCAGGTAAAAAAAACCTCATCTGCACCATGCTTGTATATTTATGTATGCATTTTTGCAATACATTAGAAGAGATGTTTAATTTTAGACTTGATGAAGGTCCTCAATGCATGTCTCCTTCCTTTGATTAGACATGAGATAACAATTTAAAAATATTTATATTCACTAAATGTTAATGCACTTAGAGTTGTTTTTTCTGACCTGGTGCCCATTAGATGTTCTGGTCTACTACTCCTAGCATTTCTGACCATTGGCCATGTTGGCTGGGGTTGATGGGATTCAGAGTTCAAAAAACTGGAGGGTATCACATTGAGGAAAGCTGATTTAGAGGACTGAACTTAAATAATAGGGTTCAGCTCATATGAACATTCTCTAAGGTCAATGGAAGGGCACACTATACATTGCTATTGTTACTGACAATATTTTCCAATATTAAATAGCTAAAGAATGAGCTAAGACCTACTTTTTTGTAGCAAAGAGGTTTTACATCTTTACCATCTTCCTTAGTCTCAACATCAAAACTAAGTTCGTTGTTTGAGTTTGATAGTCCAAAATATTCAGTACTTGTTATTGTGTTTTTGCATGAGTTTTTTCCTTAGTGTGGTAAACCAAATATTTATTTATGGTGCAGAAATTTCAAGATATTGAAGAAAAGCATCTTCTGCATATGAAAAATATTATAGAGTGTTTTTCAAATACAGTAAAAGAAGTTCACTTACAAATGGGTGAGGTAAGTTTTTGGTTAATTAATTATTAATTAGGCTATGGTTTAGAATACACTTATTATACCTGAAATTTATAGCCTTCCACCTTTAGCAAGTCTTTAATGTAATCCACTATTGCAGATCACTCAAGTGTGGAAGGAGGAGATGTGAGATGGTCTCTCACACAGCATTTGTAGATTGTATTTCTGTTGCATGTATCAGCTACATATTAAAATCATTTGAGGAAATTATGCATTAATTGAATGAGAATAAATTAAGCAACTGGTGTGGATGGTAGACACCGACCAGTGGGACTAAAAGAATATTAGTGCATATACTGCTTGGGAAATCAAAATGTTAATACATATATTCTGAAATGCCAGATTTGTACACATTAATTAAACATTCATATTTTTAGTTACCTGGAAGTCAACATATGGTTGTTTTTATTTATATTTTGTTAGTGCATGCTGCTTAGCATTTTTTCTTTGACGAAATTAAGTTTAGGATATAAAGCATGCAGCCATGAGTTTATGGCTATTTGGATGGAATGCAACTGTTGCAAATGATCCTTCTCCTCCCCACAACACGCTGTTCTCCCCAAAGGTCTGAACTGTGTTATATGGAGTTGCAGTGTGAGTGGGGAATTTTCTGAAATCAGGCAGAAGGAACTTGTGATTTCAAACATTTGCTCCTGGCACTGCTGTAGCCCCATATGACTCAAGCCCCAACCCTCTGGAGAGGGTTTTGCAGGGTACCAGGACTGCAGAAGGAGGAGGGGAAGACAAATGTTGGCTGCACAAGCTGCCTTCTGTTCGTACAACCATCAGATATAAATCATTTGTCTGTGAGCCAAAGAGTAGCCTAGCAACTCACTCAAGTGTCTTGTTCTAGCCCTGCGCATTTTCTCATTTACTTTAAACAACTGATCCCAATAACTTAGTAAAAATTTGCTTTTGAAATGCCTTGATTTAAAAAAAAAAATCAGTTTGCCATTCACAAGGATGTGGACAGAGAATTGAGGAAAACAAGCCTAAAGTCACTTTGTTGTTTAGATCCTAGCCTAATACTTTTGGATTAAAAGAATATGTGACAGAATGCAATAACTGAATTGAATCACAGATGTGTTAACTATTGAAGTTATGTCTAATTGTTTTCTCTCTCAAAGGTCCATGAAGAATTTATAAACAACATGGCCAACACAACAGTTGAAAGTTTGATTCAAAAATTTGCTGAATCAAAAGGCACAGGCAAAGAGAGACCTGGTAAGAAATACAAAATGTATCCATACATTCTCTTTAACAGTTGAGGTTATGCATATAGTTTTGTAAATGAGTATTTCAAATGCAATTTTGGTTAAAGAATTCTTTTAAGTGTAGTTTTGAATCTTCATTAGTATGAAAAACTATTCAGGATGTCTAACTACAGGCAGTAAAACTTCTATAAAATCATAGAATAGTAGAGTTGGAAGGGGCCAGAGGGCCATTGGGTCCAATGCCCTGCTCATTGCAGGTCTCCAAGTTAAACCATCCCTCTCAGATGGCTGTCCAGTTGCATCTTGAATCCCTCTAGTATGGGAGAACCCACATCCTCCCTAGGTGATTGGTACCATTGTCATACTGCTATAACCTTGTTTCCTGTTATTTGAGCCTGTTAGTCTGTGTTATTAGAGAGCTTGTTATTGAGCCTGCACTCTGGGATGGTGGAAGAGAGATGGTGGACTTTCTCTTTGTGATAACCTTTCAAGTACTTGTAAGATTCAGTCTTCAAGTACTTGTAAGGTTCATTCTTCTCTTCTCAAGGGTAAACATGCCCAGTTCTTTCAATCTCTCCTTGCTATATATGGGTACATAATCAAATTATTATCATCTTGTATGATAACCTTCTGAAACTGGGTTTGACATGCAGATTTTCACTTTTTTAGTTGTCTTGATCATAGATAATGGAAAGACATTGACACAGTTTTTGTATATCACATTTTCATTAGCATGAGCAGGGCAATTGACAAAATCACTATTATTTCCAAACAATTGTACTAAATTAATATTAAAAAGGGAATGAAAATCAGAATATTGATGATGATCAATATAACTATAGAAAATTGAGAGCTGCACCCTCCCATCTTTTGCTAACAATTCATGATGTTGAATGTGCATTAAATATAAAGCTTGTTTAAGGTGTGTTGCTGTCATAAGAAATCCCCTTGCCTCCTACAGAAATGTATTATATGCTGAGCAGTATAGGGTTGGCTCATGAAATTTGCAAAACACTTTTCTCAGTTTAATTTCAGTTTAAGATTACAATGACTATCAATGAGACTGTAAAAATACTATAAATGTACTTCACATGCACTCAAATGAGTGGTGGCCATATCCAGGAAGAGGAGGGAGAAGATAAGCCTCTTCGTGCTGGGCTACCCCACCCAGTGGTTTAGCTGCTTTGGAAAACTTATAAGTAAGACATGAGTGCTATTGTACCTTTCTGATTGTGTTCCCCAGCAACTGGTGTACCTAGGCATACTGACTCTGATACTGGAGTGAGCTTATAGCTGTCAGGATTAGGGACCATTGAAGAGTTCCAGAGGAAAATGGGTAGGAAAAGGAGTTGGCCTTGTTTTGTTTGGAAACTATTATTATTATATTATTACAAGCTATAATGTAGTTTATGTAATAGGGATGGTTTGTTTAAGCTGTAGCAAATGCAGGACACCATTTGCCTAATTATCAGCTTGGTGTGTTTTCATCATCCAAAAAGCATGGTGTTGTGTTGTAATTTTTTTTAAATTATTCCTTATTGTAGAATTTTGAAAAATTCCATATTATTGAATATATAAGAATACACACACACATGAAACTGCAACTTTATAGCAGTTAAATTTCAACAAAACACTCTATAAAGCCAAATAAGTATGTCTTCAAAGGTGTCATCTTATGCCACCCATTCAGATATTGAAAATGTTGTAATTCATTGCATTATAGTTTGTCTTTCCAGTGATGTAATGTCAGTTCTTTATGTGCCAAAAGGGTACAGAGGATCCATTTAGGCAGATCATTCATTAATTTCCAAGAAGCAGATTGTTGGGCTATTGGAGGATTGTTTCCTTCCCTCGACAAACCGTGTCATTGTCCTGCTTGGATGACTAATTACACAAATGGTGCCTAGCACATGCCAGTGGTTGAAACAAGTCACCTTGTTTCAGGATGAAACAATGGTCTGAAAATATGGCCCCTTGATATCTGAATGGAGAAACTTTACAGTTTTACAGGGGCAGTGCTTAAGTGCTCTCTGTTCTTCAGCTTTAAGAACAGCTTTTATACTTTCCTTGAATATGCCCTCGTCCATAAGGTACATCAGAGGACGCTATTTATTCTTTGCAGTGCAACTTTCAGTTCTACTACTTCATTTTTTAAAGGTACTATTTTTTTAAAGTGACATATGCGGGTATGGTAGGGTATTGTTTGAGCAAATGTGTAATGTAAATCAGGAAAGGACAAAATTTCTGGTCAGCAGAAAACATCTTGCTATTTTTTAGCCATGACAGAGAGCTTACACAGTAATGTGATTTTGTGATAATGTACATCAGTGATGCACAAACTCGAGCCTCACAGTGTTTATTCTCATACACTGATACAGAAGCTAATATTCAAGGAATATCTTCAAAAGGTACACATCTGATGTGCACAAGTGATAGTTGGCACACTCTCCTCAACAGACCAGTTAGTCCATCAGTAAAAGTCCCTGAATGAGATAGAAGAATCAACATTAGAAGCTGTGATTAGAAGTATGCAATTTCTGGAGCAGAAATGATATAAGCTTCTGATTTCAGTGGAGTACTGAGGAATAATAACTTGAGAGAGCCTCTGGTGCTGTTTCTAGTGCAATGAGGCCTAATTACATAATTCTTGGTCCTGAAATATTCATATAATCTAAAAGAAATTTGTTAAATTTTCCATACCATAGATTGCAGTATGCAATGCAGCAACGAGAGCTTGTTCAAATGGAGCCTCAGAAAGGTAGATTCCCACCTGATTTACCACCTTGTAGTGCCATGTAACTCACCAGGTAACATTGCTGTTTATACTGCAGTGGCATAATAGGTTGATCATTCTTCTGGGAAATATTTCACACTTTGTGGATGATGTAAACAGAAGTATGCCTGCAGTCGTAGGACACAGGTGTGAGGTACACAGATGTGAGTAGATGTACAAACCCCTACTTGGATTTCATTGCTTCATTGGATGTGTTTATGCAGCAGCCTTTTTAAAAAAGAGGAAGATTCTGGAAAGAAACACAAATGCACAAGCCACTTTTTGGCTTGGAAAAAGTAGTTTATGCTGCAGCACGAGGAGGGAGTTGCATATTAATTCCTTTCTGTGTTTTCATAACTGAAATATGTGCAAACATATTTTAAGCGAAATAGTTCAGAATTTTGGAACTAAAATACATAGGCCCACTTCACTACATTGGAATGTGTTAACAACTATTGATCTTATTAAATGGTCTGATTTTGGGTAAGTCCTGTGGAAATCAGACTGGATATTTATTTTAAGATAATGAAGGTGATCTCTAACAACTCAGCCTAATGATGTATTTGTCAGGAGCTGAGGTTTCTCATGACCTTTTGACCATTCAAAAGCCACAGACTGTTTTCCATGCAGAATGTTCTTTATTGACCCAAAAGCACAAATCACTGAGAATGAATCTCTGAACATGCACAGAACAGTTTTTTGTACCTAATCAGTTATTCACTTCCAGGACCTCTCCTTATGAGAGTGCCTGGGCCCCATCCCTCCAGGAAGGGCTTTCTGAAAGCAAACATGCCTCCTTACTGCACTTCTGTCCTCTACCTGGGCTGCACTTCTCTGCTGTTCATCTTGGCTATTTCCAGGAACTGCCTGTCCAACTGGGGATTCTGGCCCTGAGATAAGCATCTTTCTCATTTCAGTGTCTTGGCATGGCTCAGATGCTGCAGCTCCCTCCCATTCTGCTTCACATTCTGATGAATTCTAGCCAGCAGTCCTTGAGAATGAGGATGGAATGCAACCATCCTTCTCACTCCCAACATAATTGATGGCCCTAATGACCCTTTTTTGAATGAGTCCTTGTTGCTGTACACTCCAACAGAGTCAAATTGGATAGATTGGAATCAGGTATTCTATTCCCCATGAGATGCTGCTAATTTAATCCATATACTTTATGATGTAATTATTGGGCCTAACCAGGTTTGTTGTCCTTGGTTGGGAGATATAAAACAGCTCAGTAGTTACTCATAAGGCTAACAGTTTTGATGATTCCACAGCATCTGTAAGATTTTCAGATAGTTAAACATTTGTACTTTCTAATGTAAGTAATTTGATATGTTTTGTTGAAGTATAAGGGTTAGTTATTGGCAGTAAGACCTTTAAGCTAAAATAAGCAGGTATTTTTAGCCATGCCACTTTGCCTTTGCCTTATCCATCAATGGAATGCAGCCCCCAGTAGCTTCTCCAAAATGCAGTTCAACCCTCACACTGAAAGAGTTTCAACACCCTTGTTGTAGAGTGTTATCAAACAATCTGATATACAGTGGTACCTTGGCGCTCAAATTTAATCCATTCCAGGACTCTGGTCATGACCCAAATTGGTCGTGATCCAAGTCAAATTTCCCCATAAGGTTCAGTGTAAATATGGTTAATCTGTTCTGTAACTGTTATTTTTACCCCCCAAAATTTGAAGCAAAGTGACAAAGAACAACAAAGATCGCGGCCATCTTCCCACCCCCGAGTGATCATGCTGGGAGGGGGAGATGGCCTCGATCGTGCTTGAGGGTGGGGGGAGATGGGAGCAATCGTGGGTGCCCTGGGGGGGAGATGGGGGTGATTGCGGGTGTGCTCTTGCAGGGGAGACAGGCGCGATCACAGCCATCTCCCCCCCCCCCAGCATAATCACGGCCATCTCCCCCACCCCCTGAGCATGAACGTGGCCATCTCCCCCCGCCTCCAGCATGACCGCGATCACGCCCATGCAGGGAAGGCAGGTGCAGTTGTGATCCTCACATGATGCAGAGTTCACGACCTGCAGCAAAATGTTTAAGAAATTTCTGTTCTCAACCCAATTTGGTTGTGAACTGAGGCATTCATGAGCTGAAGTACCACTGTATTGGCTTCCTATTTATTGTAATACCTCAGTGAATTTTTGTTAGAACTGTTACTATGGAGCTGTAAATGTAACATTTTTCACTGGTTAAAAAGGCCTGTAAAGATCTGTCTTGTTGTAGGAGCATGTC